CTTGCTAGGCTTTTTTTCTTTTTGAACCAAGGGGGAAATTGCCCACCCCAATTCATATCCATCTCTTTTTTGAACTTAATATTGGATCGATGCCACTTACTCTGTAAATGTTGATTCCAATTGGCAAGTCCGTTAATTACCACTGGTGAATTGTCATTAAAAATTTTGCAAATATCACATTCGTATTTTGTCCAAGTCTTTAAGTTGTTAAAGGTGCTATAATAAGAATGAATTTAATAAAATATAAATTTAACAGAAGACAACTTTAAGAATAAATTTAGATCATACTTCATATCTGTCACTGGATTCAAAAGTTCTTTTGCCTCTGAACTTAAGGATTCTGGGTCCGGTCCGGTACCATTATTCAAAAATTCTATAATCCAAAAAATTATGCTCTTTACCTTATTAAAATAAATAAAACACAGCAAAAAAAAAAAGAAGAAAAAAGATGTATACCCTTAGTGATTTTAATTGCCACATCACGAACATCTTGATTCCATTTTTCCAGAACTTTTTGTTCAAAAACGAATCAAAATATCAAGTTAATGAATACTTTTCATAAAACATATCATACAGTGGATTTCATCTAAAGCCAACATATTTTTTATATAGGTGCTAATTTTTTTAGCTATTGTATAACATATTCAGCCAATAAAAATGCAGAAAACCTTAATATAATTTTAAATTTTATTAATAAATTTTAAAATTTTGTTAATAAATTTTAATAAATTTTAAAATTTGTTAATAAGTTTATATTTGTTATGTTTTTGATATATATAAATGCCAAAATTTTGATTACTATATAAATTTGTTGTTTTTTTTATATATAAATGCCAAAAATTTAATTACTATATAAATTTACTATTGTACCCGGTGGATATAATACGTACCCAGCAGTGAAGAAAATTTGAAAATTTTTTTTGTTTTTTGAGAACATAAATTTTAGAATTAATGTTCTTATTAATAAAATTTTACTATATTCAAAAAAATTTTATGTTCTCAAAATACTATTAATTATATTAAAAATTAAAAAATTTTATGTTCTCATAATGAGAACATAATTTTTAA